TTTTTTTTTTTTTTTTTTTTTTTTTGAGATTATGTCGCAGAGTCAAATTATATAATGTGTTTAAAAAGTTAAAGTCAACACTTTAAAACTCCAAAACAGCGAGACAAAAAATATTAATTTAAAACAGAATTACAATTGATTGAATATAAAGTTACCGAACATATTTGTACACTTAATAAGTTGTGTTAACTTTTCTTCTGCAAGCACTCAACAATCTATCATGTAATTTTGTATGCTGACATGTAAAAAATTTATATAAAGAAATTTTAACAAAATCAAGTATATATAAGTTCTCTTGTAAATAAGAAAATAGAAAGATAATCTGTAAGATACCTGAGCTTTAAGAAGGATACCACTGTTTAAAAAAAATCGATAAGTATAGGAGTTATAGCAATTTTTATAGCGCGAGATCGGTCGCATTTAGCCGCACGCTACCTGAAATACTCGGCACAAGTTACCTAATCCTAATCGACAATTTTCGGTTGTTTCTTCGACCTTGCTTCTTTGTATTTATTTGAAAAGGGATCTCTATATGCAGCTATATACAGAGTCTCGAGACGATCGTTACAGCTAGCTTTTCGTCAACGTTCGAGACATATAGTTCATTGCGAGTTTGAAATATTTATGCGAAGATAGATTATATTTCTTTCGGATTTTTAATTACACAACAATTGTAATAGATCGGAAGGGTAAAAAACAATTTACTCTGAAGCCAATGAGAGACAAAAGAAAAAATAAACGCCTTTTAAATCGCTATGAGATAGAGTAAAATAAAAGCAATACAATCACATCAACAAAAAAATTGAAATTTGCTGATCAGGATATTAATACTGATTTAATGATATCGTACAGTGATAAGAAGCTATTCGAAAAATGTTTACTTAAAATAATAATAAAAGCTTGAACGGCCTGCTTTAGAAAAGCGCTCCAAAAACAACGTCCTGTGATGGTCGAAATCGCTGCGTACTTTGCCATGTGTATATTTAATGGCTGCACGGACATATTGAAAATAATGGAGTATATGGATATAAAAATTGGACCGATAGCAACACAGTATCGTCACTGCAAGGACGAACACTGAGATCCGAACGCCGGAAGTGACGCGTGAAAATATATTGCTAAAAGCACGATAAACGTGGTTGAAGAAACTGCCACTGAAACTCTTATATGCACCCGGATTGGACGCACTTTGGTTTGTTATAAAATTCAATCACTCTATATAAAATAATCGGTTATAAAACTTTAAATGCATTTTTTTTTGAAACTACAGTTTCGTAGCTGGACGCTCGCGTATCCTACTAAATTTTTATATCTGAATAACTTAAAATTTGGAAAAAATATATATAACAATATTGTCTTCAGTTAAGTGTAGGAGTTTCTTAATTCATTTTTTGAGAAACAATGAAGAAAATAAGAACTTTTGTGGCTAGATTTCAAACTATTATTTTTTGAATTGTTGTTATTTTGTTGCAGACTCATATTTCAAGAAATCCGTACATTTAACTGAAACTGCATTTATTTTAAATAATATCAAAATTTTTTGTTTCAGAGATCCCGTGATACTCCCGAGTTTTGTTCGGGAGTACACGACACCGCACACTGCAGGCGTAAATATAAATATTTTTAATTGATTATTTTTTTTTAATTTGTTTTAGATATATACTTTAATTTGTTTTACTTTTAATTTGTTTAAGATATATACTTTTAAACTCTTAAAACATAATGTGACATTTCGTCACATATTTCGCGTAAAAAAATGAGGAAAATAATCTATATTTCCATTTGTCACAGTAGTGTCCTTTCCTTAATGATAAATATTTTAATTATTAATATTCTTTTAAAAAATAATATTATGTATAATTTATTAATTATTACGAATTGACATTTATTATATACTCGTGTTTTATTTTGTATGTTCATAATTTAGTATAAAATTTATAAAAAATAGCCATTCATTAGCATTATTGAGTTATTGCCAAAAGTTCCGAGATCTTGAAATATTTTCCTCCCAAATTGCGGATAATGGATGATGTGAAAATGATGTAATTGAGAGGCGAAACGGGAGAGACTTGCTTAGCAATAAGATCGTCGCTAACTCATCTCGTGTCTATCGCCACGCGGACCGCTCATAAGTGATAAAACAAAGACAGAGCGATCTGTCCTTTTAACTTATTATTATTGTATAGAAATAGAGTGAAAACAAATCAGAATCATCGTTTCCGAAAAGTGCATCTGACAGACATAATTTAGACGCATTTTGTCATAGGACACATCCGAAAACGTGTCCTTTGAAATTCTTACAGAGCGGAAGGCCGCTCTTTAGTTTTTCTCATTAAAAATGAGATCGATTAATAAACGATAACATACTATTTTCATAGTAACTCTATTCCACTAAATTTTAAATCTGGTGATTACGATACAATCGTAAAATTTAAATCTAGTGATTACGATACAATCGTTCTTGAAATATATATCTTTCGAGATGACGCAAATAATTTCAAACATTGACAAAAAAAGAGATTATTCAATTTTATTTCACAGATACGACTTTGTGCTGTTCGACTATTCACCGGAAGAGTACCTAGCAATTGGAAGAGATGAAGTCACTACGCTAATATGTAAAAAATGATGTTGGCATTTCATTTGTTTTTCATATGTATGCACATATGTATGTATATATATATATATATATATATATATATATATATATATATATATATATATATATATAAACATGCGAAATTTTTATTTGAATGACGCATATGACATACAACGAAACTGTAGGTAGTATTTAAATGAATTTAGAATGAGAATAAACTCAATTTAAATTCTCGATATGTATATAGTAACGATCATATCGATCATACCGTTGATACATTTCTTTTACCTCATAGAATTTAAGATAAAAATAAAATTATAGAAGATAAAATAATATCTAGTGATCTTCTGGTTTTATAATTTATGTGTAAGCTATTATATTGAACATCTTGATAGTATGTTATAATTAATTTAACTGTTGTTATACATCAGATATCAGTAAATAGAACACAATGGAAACATACGACGAAGAACATTTTAAATAATAAAGATATCTTATTAATATAAATAATGCATGTTCTATTGCTTGATGATAGTTAAATTATACAAACTAAATTTTTGCAGATGTACTGTTCTTGATTTTGATTTTAGTCCTTTTCCTTAACAAGGAACACAAACTATCTATCTCCGATTTTGATAAAATTTAGCATATTTATAAAGTAGTCAAAATTAAAAGAAACGAAAAGTTTTATTTTTTTATTTGAGATCCAAGCGTAACAGGTGAAATTATTCCCATAAATTTTATCTCTTTTGTGATATTTCAGTAACTATTAGAAATGTAAAATGTGTTTTAAACAAATATTACATAGCTTTTTTGTGTAAAATACAAAACCTTACATATTAAAAATAATATTTTAAAAAATTAATAAAATAGTTTATAGATTCAATATTTTAGATTCAATATTTAATTCATTAAAATATAGTTATTAATTAGATAACATTAATATATTATCGCGAGCAAGTATCCAATTTTTTTTAATTAATAATAAAAAATCTACAAAATTATGAGGAAAATCATAGAGAACTTTTTGTTCAGTTTGACCTAATGCACAAGCACATGATGGTAAACATCGCCACTACAATTCATTTAACATACCTCGCGTAGTTATTCACAAATCTTCTTTAATTAATATATCGATAATTATTGTGAATATCTCAAAACGGTATAGGATTTTTATGTTCACGTCAATCCGTATTATGCCTCCATTTTAATTGCATCGAATTTATATTCACCATTTATAAATGTTAAAATAATACAATTTACATGTATATTTTCAATGATATATTTTATATATAAAGTGTATATGAATCATTACACGTTAAATTGGCACCTCAGAACAGTTTTTAATCCAGATATTTCTATGAAAGAATAAAGATAATAATATATACTTTTAGATGCGGAGTGACCTAATTTGTGATTACTGATAACTGATCCAATATAGCGGCTAAAATTAGTAAAATCGTCGAAAAATTTAAGTAATTTATTATATAACTTGAAAAAAATGTTATTTTCGTCACTTTGACACTGATAAGTATAATTCAAACAAAGTGTAACTTGAACATAAAGAAATCAAAATAATGGATCGAACATGGCGGACGGAAAAGTTGTTATTAAAAGAAATGTGATACAACTTCGCGAAAAACTGTTTAATGATTCTTATAATTATAAATAGCATTTTTTTAAAGTTATATGATTGTTACGTCCCGTAGGACCTCACGGACCTTTACATTGCGTAAAGACCGATTACTTTTCCGACCGGGTTACAAAAGTCAAGTACACAAAAGGAATACGTAGATCTCGAGCCTTACGAAAGAATCATGAATCATACCACCTACAATTACGCATGTCCATATATGGCCTGATCGAACATTTCTCGAATTTCTATTTTTTTCCACCAATCCGAGCTTCATCTTTGTAAGCAAGACATCTCCAACGAATTGAGTAACCGCCATCCCCGAAATTTCCCATTTTCCGAAACTATAAAAAGTCCGATCCGTATAACTTCTAGGTTCATTCACTTATTATCATTACGACGTCTACAAGTATCACTTTTGTATTCAATCATTTGTCATTACGACGTCTACGAGTATCACTCAAGAATCAGAATCGAAGGAAGCAACTAACTCAGGAGATCCAGAACCATCCATTTCTCTCCTCGCACATACTAACAGTAAGTTATTGTTTTATTATCCGGTTTTCCGCGTCTCAATTTCGAATAAGTCCGGACAGACATATCTTTACTTTGTCGAAAACTCAATCGTAATAATTCCGGTGGACATTAATTATCGTCCAGAATTCTGAAATCGGTATGTCCTCCAATAATCCTGAACACTAACGCTCATCCTCACCACACATACACACACACACATACACACACACACACACACACACACACACAGAGTAATTATAAATAAATCATACGTTATTTCTTTTATAAAGAAACATTAATTTTTTTTGTTTACCCGTCCTCTCCTATTATCGCTCAAGATCCAGTCCCGAGTAAAGAGATTCAGTTCTCTGACACAAAATCGGACCGCTCGCCATACGTCGTCGGGCTAGTAAAGTGACCCTTCCGGTCGTTGACTAGCTCTTCGACCTATAAGTACAGGTGAGGCTTTTTTTATGTTGCGTTTTCCTACAGAACGTAACATAAGAAATTATCTATATTTTTCGACAATTTTACTAGTTTCAGCCGCTATATTGGATCAGCCATCTGCAATCACAGATTAGTCCATACGATATCTAAACATGTATATTATTACGTTTATTTTGATTACCTTAGTATTAATATTAAAAGTATTTTGATTAAAAACTGTTCTTGTCCGTGGAATAGGTGGGTAGATGTGACGGTCTTAAGTCCTTATCCGTTCTATAACTTATTATCGTAAACATCCACTCAATCATCGTAACAATCCACCCATGCATGTATCCATGCATACAAAAAACAATAAAAAAAAGTCGTTTTTTGCCTACCGAGACAAACGTGAAAACGTTATCATTCCTTATTAATTTTGACCAGCTAAAGCAGTGGTGCTATTAGAATTATCCGGAAACACCGAAAACATATTTAAATTTGAGGGTTAAAGTTGTATTTCTTTAGATAATCCCCTATATCGCGTTACAAGTACAGCCGAACTTGTCGATATTGTGGGGGGAAATTGGTTTGTAAATATACAAACCACAAACAAGTGCAAGATATCTTCATTATCAATTAGATGATTGAATTCTGATATCTAAAATGTATCCAATATAGCGCAGTTTTGAATTTAAGATTGTTATATTTTGGAGTTATTTTATATTTTGATAATATTTGTTATCTTTCATTAGACTTTTAGATTAGCAGATTTTTTGATTTTAGGTAAGCACATTTTGAATTTCCATGTTTTGCAACTTTATAAGGTAACACAATTAAAATCATTCAATTTTGTTTTAAGAAGTCACCATATTGGATGCTTCATTTAAAAACAACTGTAAATTCATCTTCAACTTATAAAGGGACTGTCTATACACGCCGCGTTAGATTTGGTTAATCTTCATATATGTTGTAGTAATCCCTTTCATGTAAACATAGCTCGTATGACTGTTGCCAATGAACACTAGTTTACAAGAAATCAGAGTTGAAAGCTTTCCATGCGCCTAGAGTATCACTAACACTAGATTTACGGACATTTTTTGTATACCTATTTTTACAGACACCATCAAATTGACTGGTGAACAAAAACCCGCATTTTCTTAAAAAAAAATCGATTTATTTAATTTAGAAACAACTTAATTATATATCTACTATTAATTTACTTATAAATTTAGTTATGTAATATTACATAATATGATATTAACATTATATACGATGGTAATTATACAGTTTAGGGGAGGTATCTCCAATGACTGTAACTTTGACATATATTGTAGAGATCACTCTTCTGAGTAATCCTGAAAAAGTTTTAGGCGGCACTGGTTAAAAAGTTTGTTAAAAAGTTATTAACAAAAGAAGTTAGTAATTATATAGTTTAGAGGACACAATCTCCAATGATCTTGACTTTGACATTGTTGTAGGGTCACCCTCTTGAGTAATCTTCAAAAAGTTTTAGGTGGCGCTCGTTGTTTGTTAAAAAGTTATTAACAAAAGAAATTGATCATTTGATCCGTAGTTTTTCGACGTATGTACATGTTGGAAATAATTTTTGCACACAATGTATATGGAAATATGGTAAACAGTACATGTATATGCGGGGGAGGAACCCCGCATCCCCTTTCCAAAAAATTAACCCTAATCTAACCCATCTAATAAAATCATAGACAGATAATATATAGATTGAAGTACAATTCTGGTTAAAAAATGCGAATGATAATACTGGAATAATAGTTAGCTAATTCATATATTAATATTTTATTTCATATTTCAGCGAAATTAAAAAAATAAGTCGGAAGTAAGCCGGAATCGAAGATATGACGTCGAGCGTTCTACCTGTGCTCCCTACTCGCTATACTATGCTGGCTACTTGAGTTTTGTTCCTACTTAAGCGGTACTCTAGGCATACGGAAAGCTTCGAACTCCAATTTCTCGTAAACTAATGTTTATTGGCAACAGCCATACGCTGTGTTTACTGGAAAGAAATTACTATAACATATATAGAGATTAGCCAAATCTAACGCGGCACATCAGGGCGTCCCGAACAGGGTGTCCCGAACCTCCATGATGACCCTTGATTAAAAAAGACTGGTTGATGATTAAAAAAGATTGGTGAATGATCACACGTGATGTGGTAGATGAGCTGCAGTGGGGCCGTCTGCCGTTGTATACTTATATATTAAGTCAAACTGAACAAAAAAGTCCTCTACCATTTTGCAAATAACTACATAAATTTTTAAATATTAAAGAAAATTGTTACATATATGATTGTATACCATAATGCATAAATTTTCTTTAATTCATATCTAAAAATCTATATGGTACTTTACAAAATAGTAAAGGACTTTTTTGTTCAATTTGATTTAATGTATAAGTATACAACGGCGCCACTGCAGCTCATCTACCATATTGCGCGTGATCATTCACCAAACTTCTTTAATTAATATCTCGACTATTATTGCGAATATCGCAAAACGGTACAGGACTTTCTTGCTCACCTCAATCCGTTCTACGTTCTCACCAAGGATCATCATAGAGGTTTGGGACACCCTATAGACTGTCCCCTTGTTAATTAGCTTTAAATATCTAGTAAAATATAAGATAGATGAAGTTTTAGTATTATTTACTTTTTTCTTCTAACAAAATCGATAACTTTCGCTTAGATAAACGCCATATTGAATACGCCAGTTTACATATCGGAAATTAGTCATCTAATTGATACTGAAAATATTCTACACTTATTGTTTGTGGTTTGTATATTTGCAGATAGCAATTTCCCTCCATAATATCGACAGGTTCGGCAATACTTGTAACGATATAGTAAATTATTTGGAGAAATACAACTTAAACTCCTCAAAATAAAAGATGCTCCCGGTATTTACGGGTATTTCTAATAGCTGTTCACTGTATTTAGCTGGCTAAAATTAATAAGGAATGATAATGTTTTCACGCTTGTCTCGATAAGCAAAAAAATCTTTTTTTGGCATTGTTCTTTGACCTTGAAAAAAACTATTTTTGAAAAATTTAAAGCCCTCATCTTTTTTCCCTTCTAAATCTTCAAACTTTTGTTTGATATATTGTTTTCTACATCTTGTTTTTGATATACAGAATAATTTAAACAACCATCTATCATTAAAAATAT